CAAGCTCCACAGCTTTTGGCATTCTGCAAGCATTGCAGGAATTAGGCACACACGGACTGCCACAAAGTGGTTACTACTTGTTACTTTCTGGAGCTTTCAAGGTACTTGGTGCTCGACATTTGCTCTAGAAGCAACTGAGGCAAGAGGTCCAGTCCCTCTGACTCCACCACTCACCTCTGTGGCAAAAGTTAGATCTGCAGGCTTACAAGGACCCCAATGTTTAGGACAAGCGGAGGGTTTATGAGACATGAAGAATGTTGCTCAGCACATCCACATGGTGGCAGTATTTTGGTCTTGGTTTTCATCACGAGAGTGTTCCTGGCGCTGGTGCCGTTAGCAGGCGTGCGACTATTGTTCAAATATCACCTGTCCGGGTAAAGGCTTCATCAGACGGAGATTGATGTATTTCAAGATTTAGACTTTTTAAAACAGTTCTTTTCATGTTCCTGGTGTTAAATTTTTATCTGCTATTAATATTCCAATACAATAGTCCTCGCCTATATGTGGTTTTGCTTTCCATGTTTCAAGTTACCTGATGGCACAGACGATATTTTGGGGGAGAGACCACATTCACATAAGCATAATTATATTGTTATAAATGCCTTCTATTTTGAGTTATGTTGTTGATCTCTTACTGTGCCAATTTGTGAAATAAACTATCATTGGTATGTTTTTAGAAAAAGTAAATATGTGAAGTTTTCAGTATTATCTGTGCAGTTAAGCACCTTTTAAACCTTGTGGATAAGGACTAATATCACTTTACTAGTGGTTGTTTCAATTTGGAGTGAATATCAGGAACACACCTGGCAGTCTCCTTATAAAAGGGATTCTGTGCCCTACATGCAGTTTCTGATTCCAGTAGTGGCAAGTCCAAAAGAATTTTGTATGTTTAGGGGGCGCCCCCCCCCCCCCCCCCGCCCGGGTCGCACTTTCAGAACCCACTAGGTCGTACTAAAAGAATGACTGTAGGCCGGGCGCTGGGCTTCACACCTGTGAATCTAGATCTGGAGGCCGAAGGCAGGTGGATTGCTCAAGGTCCAGGAGGTTGTCAAGTCAGGAGTTCGAAACCAGCCTGAGCAAGAGCGAGACCCTGTCTGCTACTATAAATAGAAAGAAATTAATTGGCCAACTAATATATATAGAAAAAAATTAGCCTGGTCTGGTGGAATGCCTGTGTAGTCCCAGCTACTCAGGAGGTCGCTGACAGCAGGATTTGCGTTTGAGCCCAGGATTTGAGGTTGGCTGTGAGCTAGGCTGATGCCACGGCACCACTAGCCTGGGCAACAAAGCAAGACTCGTGTCTCAAAAGAAAAGAAAGAAACAGAAAAGAGAAGAAAATTGGGGGAGGGGGGGAATGAGCAATATACATAACCTTAGCATTTGTATGCCCCTAATATGCTGAAATAAAGAAATAAATATTAAAGTTCCTAAAACTGAAAAAAAAAAGAAGAAAATTAGAGACAAACTTATTCATATAACGTATTTTATTGTGCACTTCATTATGCCAGGTACTTTTCTGGATAACTGAGGAAACAGTGGTGAACTAAAACAACTCCGCTGCCTTCAGATTCCCATCTCCAGATACTAGAATATTAAAATTGTTAGAGTTAATTAAAACAGCTGTATTTATGTACAAGAATAGATATAGTAATGATATAAATTACAGGGAAAGAACCCTGGCTTATGTAATAAGTAATGGTTTACATTAAAAGCAGTATTGACAGCATGGCTTAGGACTAGTTTGGGTATTCAGGAAAAAGAGCCTATTTTAAGGCTCCTAGCCCCCCCACGATACATACTTTTGAGTATTATTTAATACTGTGGTACTTAAAATGGGGACATCGATGTGGCACAATTTCATGACAGAATGATCTGTAAATTGCCTAATTTCAGGTGGATTTATGCTGGTCGGAGGGAATGGGATCTTTAATAAGCCCCAGTTTTGGTTGACTTACTAATGAGGAAAATGGTTAGATGATATTTTTTAGCAGGGTCCTGGAGGAATCACCTGGAAGGCTCAGAACTTTACAGCGTCTTCCCTTCTCTCCCTACCCCAACACTTGGAAATCTCACATTCAGATGGCCTTTCAACATGACGTGAGAAACAAATATGGTTCTAGGACAATTGATTATTCAAGAAAAAGATAGACAAATAAATTCTAGATGGAATGAGTTTAAAATGTAGAAATAAAAACAAAGGAACAAGAGGAATATAGGTGATTTTTTTTTTTATCTGATACAGAGGTTGGGAAACAGAACAAAACTAACTGAATAACTTACAGTTAGAAAATATGGTTAATACTAATGGAAAAAATGAACAAGTTAATTCGAAAAAGAAATACAAATGGTGCGTATTCATTTGCAAAACAGATTAGCTTCCCTGGTAGAGCAAAGAAAATGCCAATTAAATTTACTATTAAACACCATTTTCAATACATCAATTGACAAAAATTAAAGCCTGGTGCCACCCTGAGGCTGATGCACTGTTATGAGTGAGGTGAAGTAGATGCCTAGAGATGGGTAAATGAATAAATGCTAAAAACCTCTCTAGAAAACAATTTTAAGTAAACATCAATAGCTTTAAAAATATCCAAATACTTTGATCCAGTAATTTGCTGTCCAGCAATTCATTCTAAGGAAATCATCAGAAATATACTCAGAGATGTCTATACAAGCATGTTTGACCAGTTATTGTATCACTTAGGACTGCATTTGGCAGACAGAAACCTACAGAGGGCTTAAATAAGCATATGTGTTTATTCTTCTCATGGTCTCAAGAGTGCAGAGATCAGCAGTCCAAGGCTGGTAGCAGCCGTCAGGCATGCCATCAAGGATCCCAAGCTCCCTGAGGTCTTTCCACTTAACCGCCAAAGTAAGTGGCGTGCCTTCCTTATGCCTAAAATGGGCTCTGGTCCTCAGGTTTCATTTCTACATCTCAAGCAGAAGGAAGACTTCATGCTTGCCAAGTCTGTTCTCTTGCATCAAAAACTCAGCAGCTTTATTAAGCAGGAATTCCAACTGCTAACTCTTAACTGCTAGAGCTGGAGTTCATCACCTTAGCAGGGACTGGAGGTATTTTTAACTAGACACATTATCATCTCCCCCACCCAAAGTGGGTTCTCCTAATGAGGAAGATACAACAGGGATCTATTTATATAAATTCTCTGAGTAAGAATGTCAGGTTTTCTAATTTACTGACTGAAAATGCTCATGATGTAATGTCAAGGAAGAAGCAGGACACAGAACACATACAATTGTATTTATACAATTTTGTTTATACAAACAATGCTATTTTGCTTAAAGATATATAATTTACATACACACTCACACATAAAATAACAAAATGGTATAGTAGTTAACTTTTACCAAGTTGCATTTCAAGTCAGAGAGGTATTGATGGACAGATGTAGTTTATTTATTAAACTTTTCCCTGTATTTTCTAAATCTTCTATAATGAACTCCTTATAATAGCGAAAAAATGTTATTTTAAAACATCCTCATATATTTCCAGGGAGACTATGTCCAAAATGTTTTACACGTTACTCATTTTCATCTTCATTGCCAAAAGAAAGGAGGCTTACTGTTTTTGATTTGTTTGGTTGTGAGTTCTTTTTAACTGAGTCCGCATTTATTTCATCTTACTTGTCTTTTTCTTTTTGAGCTTGCTGTTAAACCTGAATATTTTCATCTGAGGGACGCTTGACTGGTTTCATACATGATTCTTCCATCAGCTGGAGTGGTTCTTCTCTGAGTAAAACAAATTTTTAAGAACTTTCTTCTGTCCTCATTATTTTGCTTTATCAGAGAATCAAATAGCAAGGAAATCTCATATTGTATTTAAGGATATCCTTGCATCAATTCAGTCTGGTCTTTCCACTCGTCTCTGCGATAGGCCCTATAAGCCCTATGGCTGCCACTCAATAAAAACTACTTACTGAAGTATTTCATAATACTGCCGTCCAAATTAATTACAATCAGGTTGTATTTTTAAGTACTTTGAAAAGTAATTGTTTGGAACTGCAGTATTTTTCCCTAAAACAATGTAATAAATGTTTAGCATACCACACTTCAGGCACTAATTAAACAGACCTTTGTTGACTGGTAATAAACTTAAACACTTATTTTTTTAAAAACTGGATTTTTTTTTTTGAGCACAGTCTTGCTTTGTTGTCTAGCAGGTAGAGTGAGTGCCGTGGCTCAGTCTAGCTCCAGCAACTCAAATCCTGGTCTCAAGCGATGTCCTACTGCCTTCGCCTCCCGGTAGCTGGGACTAAGGCATGTGCACACCATGCCGTATATGTTATATATATATCAGTTGGCCATATTTCTTTCTAATTATAGTAGAGACGGTCTCGTCCTTGCTCGGTGTTTTGAACTCCGACTTGAGCAATCCCCGCCTCGGCCTCCCAGAGAGCTAGGATTACTAAAAACTGATCTTTTTACTCAAATTAACAACTAATCCTCATAACAACCTAATAGGTAGTATAATATTGTCCTTTATTTTGATGAAGAAATTGAACTGGAATGAAATAACTTGCTTAAGTCACACATATGGTAAGTGTCACGCATGCTTCAACCTGAAATGTCTCCTTCAACATCGTAGTATTACATAAAATAAACAACTTCATAATCCAGCCTCCTTAAATGTTGAAAAGCCAGATTACTTCAAATATACCTGCTTTGGCAGGCCTTTATTTCTGCTTTATTTTCATGACTTCTTCTTGCTGACAGATCTCCTTTTCTAACACCACCACTTGGGGCTGTTCATCTCTCTCTAAAAACTGGATCTTTTTACTCAAATTAACACCTAATCCTCATAACAACCTAATAAGGTAGGTATAATTATTGTCCCTTTATTTTGATGAAGAAATTGAAACTGAGAAATGAAATAACTTGCTTAAAGGTCACACATATGGTAAGTGTCAAAGCCATGCCTTCAACCTAGAAATGTCTCCTTCAAACATACCGTAGTATTACATAAAATAAAACAACTTCATAATCCAGCCTCCTTAAATTGTTAGAAAAGCCAGATTACTTTCAAATATACCTGCTTTGGCAGCCTTTATTTCTGCTTTAATTTTCATGACTTCTTCTGCTGACAGATCTCCTTTTCTAACCACCACCACTTGGGGCTGTTCATCTTCTTTGTCACTATAGTCACCATCTTCATCTGGGAGCTGAGGCTGGGTGTTGGAGGATCTTGTGGGGCTGCCACGCTGAGCAGAGTACTTGCTCTGACCCCAGGTTTCGATGACTCTTTTGACATCTGGGGTGGGTGCCAAGCCCTTCCAGCGCTGTGCATTTGCAAGCTTGCAGAATTAGCACACGGCTGCACAAGTCTTAGTATTGTACTGTCTGGAGTCGCATACTTGGTTGCATTGCCTGAGAACATGAGGCAGAAGAGGTCCGTCCTCTGAACTCCCCTCACCTCTGTGCAAGTATCTGGTTAAGGAGCCCAATGTCTCTAGGAAAGCGAGAGTTTTAGACATGAAGCAATTGCTCCGCACATCTCAAGTGGGTGGCACGTTTTTGTCTTAGGTTTTCATCACAAGATGTGTTCCTGGTCGCTAGTCTTACACTATTGTTCAAACTATCACTGGAAGGTAAAGGTTCATCAGCATGATTGATGTTTTCAGATTTGACTTTAAACAGTTAGTTTCATGTTCTTGTTTAAATTTTTATGTGCCGTACTATATTTAGTTTCCCAAATACATATGCCTCATTATGTGCGGTTTTGCCTTTCTGGTTTCGGTTACGCTGATGTACAGAAGCGTATTGTTGGGGAGAGACCCATAAACATGCTGGCTATATTTTGATAAATTGTTTATTTTGAGTTAATACCACGTGTTGTTTCTCTTACTGTGCCAATTGTAAAACTAACTGATCATGGTGGTATGTCATAGAATAACCTAAATATGATAAACGGTTTCGTATGTATCTGTGAGCATTAGCAATACCAACTGGCCGTCTGCCGACATACCTTGTGGATAAGGAGGGCTAAGATATATCATTACTAGGGTTTCATCTGGTGATATCAGAACACCTGGCGAGTCTTCCTTATTAGAGATGTACTGTGACCCTTATGTGCGAGTTTAATGAGTGTGCAGTAGGCAATGTTCCAGATCTTAGTCAGTGTTTGGGCCCCCCGTCGTGGCAGCTTGTCAGAACCACTGGTGTTAAAGATCTTGGACCGGTGATCGAACCTGTAATCTAGCATCTGCGAGAGGCCGAGAGCAGAGTAGGATTGCGTCTAAGTCCGAGTTCGAAACAGCTGGCAGAGCGGAGATTGTCATTGTCTATATAATAGAAGAAGTTAATTGGCCAACTTATAATAGTTATAAAATTAGCCTGGCATGGTGGCAACATGCCTGTCGTCCCAGCTACTCAGGAGGCTGAGAGCAGGATTGCTTGAGCCAGGAGTTTGAGGTTGCTGTGAGCTAGGCTGATGCCACGCACTCACTCTAGCTAGGCAAACAAAGCAAGACTCTGTTCAAAAGAAAAAAGAAAGGAAGAAAGATTGGGAGGCGGAATGAGCATATAAAGAACCTTGGCATTTGATATCCCCATTATGTGATGAAGAATAGATTAAGTTCCTAAATGAAAAAAAAGCTTAGAGAACACTTCTCATTATATTATATTTTTGTGCACTTTCAGTATGCAGACTTTTCTGGATACTGAGGGAGAACGTGGTAGAATAAACAAACTCCCTGCCTTAGATTCCCTCTCAGATAATAGATTTAATTTATGGGTAATTAAACGTGTTTTAGTAAAGAATAGATTATGAGTATGATTAAAATACGGTGAAAACCGTGGCTTATGGTACATAGTAAGGTACATTAAGCAGTATTGCAGCTGCTTGCAGGTATTGGGATTCGAGAGGTATTTTAGGCTCCCTAGCGCACCACATACATCCTTTTGAGCTGTTTGATACTGGAGGTCTTAAATGGGCCATAGATGTGGCACAATTTATGGACAAGATGATCTGAATTCCTATTCAGGTGGCGAGATGTGCTGGTGAAGGAGGGTCTTATAGCCCCAGTTTTGTTGCTTTTATAATTGAGGAAATGAGTTGATTAAGCCACGAGTGTCTGGGAATCGACCTGGACAGGCTCAGTTTACAGGCTTCCCTTCTTCTCGCCTCCCCAACATGGCGAAATTCACATTCGATGGCCTTTCAATGAGTGGAAACACATCATGGTTCTGGACAATTGATTTTCAGAAAAGGTACACCAAATAATTCTATATGGAATAAAGTTTACAACTGTAGAATAAAACAAGACAGGATCTAGGGATTTTCGCTTTCTTATTGATACAGAGTTGGGACGAACCAAGTCTAGTGATTACATAACTTACAGAGTAGAAAAATAGGTTCATATCATGGAAAATACAAAGTTTTAGAAAACGATACAGATGCGTGTGTGACATTTGAAAAACAGTAGCTTCCTGTAGGCAAAGAGCCAGATGCAGGTTGAATTTAACCATTAACTCATTTTCCATAATTCAAATGACAAATTAGAAGCCTGTCCAGCCACTGGAGGCTGATAGACTGTTATGAGTGGTGATAGAATGCCTAGAGATGGGGTAGATGAGTAAAGTGCTAAACCTCCTCTAGGAGAGACAATGTTAGTAAAACATAATAGCTTTAGGAGTAGCACATACTTTGATCAGTGAATTCTGCTGTGCGAGCAATGGCTCAATTCTGAAGGAGGATCATAGATTACTTCAAGAGATGTCTTATACGAAGTGTTTGACCAGTTTTTATACTTAGACTGCATTTGGGGACAGAAAGACACTGACGAGGCTGACATCAGAGGGTTTATTCGTTCTCATGTACTCAAGAACGTGCAGAGATCAGCAGTCCCAAGGCTGGTAAGCAGGTCAGTGCTTCAAGGAGTCCAAGTCCTGAGTCTTCCACGTTAACCGGCCCAAAGTAGTGCTGCGTTCCATTATGATAAAATGGCTCTGGGTCCTCGGTGTTATGTTATTCAAGGAAGGAAGCATTGGATGCTTGCCAGTCTGTCCTGGTTGACAGAACTCAGCAGGTCTTGATTAAGCAGATTCCAGAGCTGCATGACTTTAAACTGCTAGGCTGAGTCTCTTGCAGGGACTGGGGAGTATTTTTGATAGCACTGTGATCATCTCCGCACCAAAGTGGGCGGTTGGCTCCATGAGGAAGATAAACGGGAATCCCTATTTTTCCGGTATTACCTAAAATTCTGCAGTGGAATGTCAGTTTCTAATTTATGCTGACAAAATGCTTCATGATTAATGTCAAGAAGAGCAGACCAGAAACATAGAGATTGTTTTATATTTGCTGATTGCTCATAATACAAAAATGTATTTTGCTTAAAATATATAATTATCATCATCACAGCTAAAATACATGGGGTATAGTAGTTAACGTTTTTACAAGTTGATTTTCAGGTCAGAGAGTATGATGGACAGATGTAGTTTATTGTTATTAACTTTTTCCTGTATTTTTAAATCTATCTATAATGACTCTAATTATATAGAAAAATGTCTATTTAAAAACATACCTTTATTTTCTCAGGAGACTTGTCCAAAGATGTTTACACGTTACTTTGATTTCAGTCTTCATTGCAAAGAAAGGACAGGCTACGTTTTTGATTTGTTTTTGATGAGTTTTTTACTGCTAGTCAATTTGCATTTCATCTTTACTTGTCTTTTTCTTTTTGAGCTTGCTGTTAAACTGGATTTTTTCATCTGAGGACGCTTGACTGCGTTGTTTGACGATACATGTTCTTTCATGCTGGAAGTGGTTTCCTTGGATAAAAATTTTAAAAGACTTTCGTTCTTTCGTCATGATATTTTGCCTTTATCAGGAATCAAATTAGCAGAAATCTCATTATTTTATTTAAGGTATTCCTTGGCATCCAATTCGTTCTTTGGTTTCTCATGTCTCTGGAGTATAGCCTATAATGCCTATGTGCCACTCAATAAAACTCATACTGAGTATGTTCGTGAATCTGCGGTCAAGTTAATTTAAGTCAGTTGTATTTTTAGTATTTGAAAAGTGGTTGTTTGGATACTGCAGTTTTTTCCCTAGAACCATGGTAATAAAGTTTAGCCAACTTAGGCGGATAATTGAAAGCTTTGTTGACTGTGCTAACTACACTTTTTTTTAAAACTGATTTTTTTTTTTTTGAGACGAGTCGGTTTGCTATTGTTGTAATAGGCTAGCGTGAGTGCGCGTGCGTCAGCTCTAGCTTCGCTACCTCAATCTCACCACACCTCCCCCGCCGCTCACCTCGCGATCCTAGTGCTCAGCTCCCCGGTAGCTGGGGACTACAGATGTGTACCAATGCCGCGTTTTCCTAGACTGTTTGATACGAATATCAGAATTGGCCAATTATTTCTTTCTAACTTATGTAGAGCTTGCGTCTCGCTACTTGCTCAGCTGGTTTTGAAACTCTGACTTGAGGCAATCGCGCTCGGCCTCCCAGAGGCTAGGATTTACTGTTTCGAACTCCTGACCTAGAGCAATCTGCCTGTCTCAGCCTCCCCAGAGTGCTAGGATTACAGGCGTGAACCACCGCGCCCGGCCAGGAATTTATTTCTTACAGTTGTGGAGAAGTCCAAGGTTGAGTGGCAACATCTGGTGAGGGCTTTCTTGGTGGGAAAGCCCTCTGCAGAGTCCTGAGGTGGCACAGTGCATCATATGGTAAGGGAGTTGATCATGTTAGCTCAGGTCTCTTTTCTCATAAAGCCATCAGTCCTACTCCCATGATAGGCCATTAATCCATTAACTTATTACTCCATTAACCTGTGAATGGATTAATCCATTCATAAGGGCAGAGCCCTCCTGACATGATCACCTCTTGGAGGTACCAATACTGCCACATTGGGGAATAAATTTCAGCATGAGTTTTGGAAGGAATAAATATTCAAACCATAGCACTCTGTCCCTGCCCCCCACACCCAACTCATTTCCTTCTCACATATATTCATTCCAACCTCATAGCTCCAAAGTCTTAACTTGTTCCTGCACCAACTGAAAAGTCTGAAGTCAAAAGCCTCATCTGTGAGCCTGTGAAATCAAAACGAGTTATCAACTTCTAAGATACAATGATGGCATAGGCACAAGACAGACATTCTCATTCCAAAAGGGAGAAAAAGGCCAAAAGAAAGGAGTAACAGGCCCCAAACATGTCTGAAACCCAAGGCCAGACATTAAGTCTTAAAGCGAGACAATAATCTCTCTTTTGATTCCTTGTGCTGCCTCCTGGACACACTGGGGTTGGGGCATGGCCTCAGGCAGCCCTATCCCTATGGCTTTGCTTGGTGAAGCCTATGTGGCTGCTCCTACAGGTTGGAATATGGTGCCTGAAACTTTCCCAGGTGGGCACTGCATGCTGCCAGTGATTCTTCAGTTCTGGGGTCCTGGTGGTGGTTCTACTGCCATGGCTCCACTTGGCATTGTCCTAGTGGGGACTCTCTGTGGTGACCTTGCTTCCGCAGCTGCACTCTGCATTGCTCTGTTGGGGACTCTGCAGCAGTACCAACCCCACATTTTTTTATTTTTTTAATATGGACTGCTTCACAAATTTGTGTGTCATCCTTTTGCAGGGGCCATGCTAATCTTCCCTGCATCGTTCCAATTTTAGTGCATGTGCTGCCGAAGCGAGCACTCAACCCCACATTTCTGTTCAGCATTGCTCTAGTTGGGGACTCTCTGTGGCGGCTCCACCCCTGCAGCAAGTCTCTGCCTGGACCCCCAGGCTTTCCATGACATCTTTTGAAATCTGGGTGGAGAATGCCAAGCTTCCACAGCTGTTGCATTCTGCAAGCTTGCAGAATTAGCACCACACGGCTGCCACAAAGGTTTACTACTTGTACCTTCTGGAGCTTCAAATACTTGGTTCGACATTTGCCTAGAAGCAACATGAGAGAAGAGTCAGTCCCTTGACTCCACACTCACTCTTGTGGCAAAGTAGATCCTGCAGCTTACAGGACCCAATGTTCTAGGAGAGCAGTTTATAGAACATGAAGCAATTGCTCAGCACATCTCACATGGCACGTATTTTGGTCTTGGTCTTTCATCACAAGATGTGCTTCCTGGCTGCTAGCTCTTACACTCATATTGTTCAAATATCACCTGTGGTAAAGGCTTCATCAGCATGATCGATGTATTTCAAGATTTAAGACTTTTTAAACAGTTTTTCATGTTCCTTGTTTGAATTTTTATCTGCTATTATAGTTCCAATCAAATGTCCTCCTTATGTTGTGGTTTGCTTTCGTGCAGTACTGAGGCCACAGAAGGACTGATTTTGGGGGAGAGACCACATTCACATAGCTGATTAGTATTGTTATAATTGTTCTATTGTGAGTTTATTGTTGTTGATCTGTCTTACTGTGCCCAATTTGTAAACTAAACTATCATTGGTATGTATGTATAGGAAAAAACTAATATAGATAAGGTTTCGTATTATCTGTGGCATTAGGCATCCACTGGCCGTCTGGAACACTACCTTGTGCGATAAGGGGGGACTAGTATAGTCATTACTAGTGGTTTTCAAATTTGAGTGAATATCAGAACACCTGGCGTCTCCTTATAAAAAGATACTGTGCCCGCTACATGCACGTTTCTGATTCATAGGGCAGTCCAAAGACATTGTATGTTTACGGGCCCCGGCGTCTGCGAGCTTTCACGAACACCTGTCGTATAAAAAAAGAGACACCTGTAGAGCACGGGCGCTGTGCGCCTCACACCTGTAAATCCTACACTGCTGGGAGCCGGGGGCAGGTGTTGCTCCAAGGCTCCAGGATTGCGAAACCAGCCTGAGCGAAGAGCGAGACCCTGACTCTACCTATAAATGAAAGAACATTGACTTGGCCAACTAATATATATAGAAAAAAATTACTGCATGGTGGGCACATGCCTGTAAGTCCAGCTACTCAGGAGGCTGAAGCACAGGTTGCTTGAGGCCAGGAGTTTGAGCGTTCTGTGAGCAGGCTTCGATGCCGACGCACGTCACTCGTAGCTTGGGCAACAAAGCAGGAGCTCTGTCTCAAAAAAAACGAAGGAAAGAAAAAGAGAGAAAATTGGGGATGGAGGATCGAGCACTATAACCATAACGCTTAGCATTGTATCCCGCATAAATCGCTGGAATAAACGAGACATAGAATATCTAAAGTTCCTTAAACTGAACAAAAAAAAAATTAGAGACACACACTCTCGCATTCAGATTAGAGTACATACTTTACTTGTGCCTTCATATGGCCAGGTACTTTCTGGATGACTGAGGAAGCATGGTGAATATTTTGAAACAAAACTCCTGCGCGTTGCAAGATTCCGCATCCTCCAGATACTCTAGACATATTAAAATTTAAGTAATTAAAACAGTGTATTTTGGTACAAAGATACTGATATGAGTATGATATAAATTACGGAAGAAAACCCCTGGCCATGGTAGATCAGTAAGGTATGACAATAAAAGCATGATTGCAGCATGCTCAGGTAGTTGTGGCGGTACATTCAGAAGCTATTAAGGGCTCCCTAGCCCACCCACATACATCATTTTGAATCTATTCTTTATACGTGGGTACTTAAAGATGGGGAAACGATAGATGTGGCACCAAAATTTATGGACAAGGATGATCTGAAATTCCTTAATTTTCAGGTGGTATGGCTGGTGAGGGATGGATCTCTCAATACGAGCGCCCCAGTTTTGGTGTGACTTTTACTAATGCAGGAAAAGTGGTTCAGAGTAAGCAGGTTGGGATACGGCACAGGGTCGAGCGAACTTCCTGGACCAGGCTCAGTTACGCGCTTCCTCTCTCCCTCCAACACTTGCCGAAATCTCACATTCAGGGATGGCGCTTTTCAAATGAGGTGAGAATACAAATATGGTCTCTAGGACATTGATTTTCAAGATAAAAATACTACCCAAAATACAATTCTAGATGAGAAAAGTTTAAATGTACAAGAAATAAAAACAAAGAACAGAGATATCGGTGATTTTTTATCTGATACACGAGTTGGAAACAGAACAAACTAACTGATTTACATAACTTTACAAGTAGAACAATATGCGATACTAAGTGGAAAATGAACAAGTTAATCTCGAAAAAGAATCACAATGCCTGTATACATTGAAAAAACAAGGATTAGGCTCCTGGTAAGCAAGAGAAGAATGCCAGATTAAATTAACTATTAACACCAGTTGTCAAACATCAAATCGTGACAAAATTGAAAGCCTGGTGCCACCCCTGAGGCTGATGCACTGTTAGTGTATGAGGCGTGAGGTGAAGTAGCATGCCTAGAGATCGGTAATGGAATAAATGCTAAAAACCTCTCTAGAAAACAATTTTAAAGTAAGCATCAAAGCTTTAAAATATCCACAATACTTTGATCCAGTAAATCTGCTTCCAGCATTCAGTCTACTAAGGAAATTCATCAGGAATATACTCAGAGATGTCTATACAAGCATGTTTGACCAGTTATTGTATCCTTAGACTGCATTTGCAGACAGAAAACTGACAAGAGCTTAAATAAGCATAGTGTTTATTCTTCTCATGTCTCAAAGAAGTGCAGAGATCAGCAGTCCAAGGCTGGTACAGCAGGTCAAGGCATGCCATCAGGATCCGAGCTCCCTGAGTCTTTCCACTTACCCCAAAGTAAGTGGCTGCCTTCCTTATGCCTAAAATGGCTCTGGTCCTCAGGTTTCATGCTACACTCAAGCAGAAGGAAGACTTCCATGCTTGCCAAGTCTGTTCTCTTGCATCAAAAACTCAGCAGCTTTATTAAGCAGAATTCCAACTGCTAACTCTCTAACTGGCTAGAGCTGAGTCTCATGGGCCACCCTTAGCAGGACTGGAGGGGGTATTTTAACAGACACATTATCATCTCCCCACCCAAAGTGGGCGTTCTCCTAATGAGGAAGATACAACAGGGGATCTATTTAATTATAAAATTCTCTGCAGCTAAGAATGTCAGGTTTTCAAATTACTGACCTGAAAACGCTCATGATGTAATGTCAAGGAAGAAGCAGGACACCAAACACATACAATTGTATTTATACAATTTTGTTTATACAAACAAAATTTTTGCTTAAAAATAATATATTTACATACACACTCACACATAAAAATAACAAGAGATGGAATAGTAGTTAACTTTACCAAGTTGGCATTTCAAGTCAGAGGAGGGTATTGATGGACAGATGTAGTTTATTTTATTAAACTTTTCCCTGTATTTCTAATCTTCTATAATGAACTCCTTATAGTAGGAAAAAATGTTATTTTAAAAAACATCCCATATATTTTCCAGGGAGACTATGTCCAAAATGTTACACTTACTCATTTTCATCTTCTATTGCCAAAAGAAAGAGGGCTAACTGTTTTTGATTTGTTTTTGTGAGTTCTTCTTAAACTGAGTCCCGATTTGATTTCATCTTCACTTGTCTTTTTCTTTTTGAGCTTGCTGTTAACCTGAATATTTTCATCTGAGGGACGCTTGACTGGTTTTCGATACATGATTCTTCCATCAGCTGGAGGTGGTTCTTCCTCTGAGTAAAAACAAATTTTTAAGAACTTTCTTCTGTCCTCATTATTTTGCCTTTATCAGAGAATCAAATAGCAAGAAAATCTCATATTGTATTTAAGGATATCCTTGCGTCAATTCAGTCTGGTCTTCTCCACTGTCTCTGGCGATAGGCCCTATAACGCCCCTATGGGCTGCCACTCAATAAAAATTCACTTACTGAAGTATTTCATAATACTGCCAGTCCAAATTAATTACAATCAGGTTGTATTTTTAAGTACTTTGAAAAGTAATTGTTTGGAACTGCAGTATTTTCCCTAAACAATGTAATAAATGTTTAGCATACCACACTTCAGGCACTAATTAAACAGACCTTTGTTGACTGGTAATAAACCTAAACACTTATTTTTTTAAAAACTGGATCTTTTTACTCAAATTAACACCTAATCCTCATAACAACCTAATAAGGTAGGTATAATATTGTCCCTTTATTTTGATGAAGAAATTGAGAACTGAGAAATGAAATAACTTGCTTAAAGGTCACCACATATGGTAAGTGTCAAGCCATGCCTTCACACTAGAAATGTCTCTTCAAACATACCGTAGTTATTACATAAAATAACAAAACTTCATAATCCAGCCTCCTTAAATTGTTAGAAAGCCAGATTACTTTCAAATATACCTGCTTTGGCAGCCTTTATTTCTGCTTTAATTTTCATGACTTCTTCTGCTGACAGATCTCCTTTTCTAACCACCACCACTTGGGGCTGTTCATCTTCTTTGTCACTATAGTCACCATCTTCATCTGGGAGCTGAGGCTGGATTCTCTATGGGAAAACACAAATATGATGTTAGGGCACTGACATGGAATGAAATACAACCACTGCCTCTGTGAGAAATGGTATCATTGAAATGATAAGGGTAACTTTATTAACTAAATGTCTTTGGCCATGAATTTTTTTTTTTTTTTGAGACAGAGTCTCACTCTGTTGCCTGGGCTAGAGTGCCATGACATCAGCCTAGCTCACAGCAACCTCAAACTCCTGGGCTCAAGCAATCCTTCTGCCTCAGCCTCCTGAGTAGCTGGGACTACAGGCATATGCCACCATGGCCGGCTCATTTTTTCTTTTTAGTTGTTTGGCTAATTTTTTTTCTATTTATAGTAGAGACAGGGTCTCACTCTTGCTCAGGCTGGTCTCGAACTCCTGAGCTCAAGCAATACTCCCGCTTCAGCCTCCCAAAGTGCTAGGATTACAGGCGTGAGCCACCGCACCTGGCCAGGCCATGAACTCTAAAGAGACTAACCTTACCAAGTGAGGGAAGAGGTCTGCCTGCCTGTCATGCTGGGGTGGCTGTCCAGTGGAATTTGTTTCTGTCTCCGCAGGACCCAGCTTGCAGTTGCTAGTATCTGGGGCCCTCTGCTTTGGCTACTGCTGTCATTCCTAGCCTACTCAGGGCAACACTGAACCACATTGGTTCTTTTTGCTTATCAACAATTTTCACCTTCGTCTCTTCTCAAAGATGCAAAAGGACAGATGTGGCGAGCATAAGCCTTTGCCTGTATTCCTTTATCCTGCTAGAGTGCAGATCTGAATCCTGAGGACCAGAGCCATTTTTATTTTGTATTTTTTTTGAGACAGAGTCTGCTGTTGTGTCCGACGCTAGAGGTGAGTGCCGTGGCATCACGCCTAGTCACAGCAATCTCAAACTCCTGGGCTAAAGCAATCCTCCTGCCTCAGCCTCCCAAGTAGCTGGGACTACAGGCATGCGCCACCATGGCCGGCTAATATTTTTCTATATATATATATTAGTTGCCAATTAATTTCTTTCTATTTATATAGAGACGGTGGTCTTCGCTCTTGCTCAGGCTGGTTTCGAACTCCTGACCTCGAGCAATCCGCCCGCCTCGGCCTCCCAGAGTGCTAGGATTACAGGTGTGAGCCACCACACCCAGCACAGAGCCATTTTTAGACATAAGGAAGGCAGCCACTTGCTTTGGGTGGCCTAAGTGGAAAGCCTCAAGGAGCTTGGAGCCTTGCTGGAATGCCTTGAGTTGCTGTACCAGCCCTGGACTGCTGACCTCAAACACCACCAAAGTATAGAAAAAAGGAAGTAAAAGGTACTCTTTCTCTTACCTCTGGGCTATAGAATGGATGTTGTGTTAGCAGGCATAAAAACAACATTCATTTCCTTATACAACTCCATCAGAGCTCTTGGGTGACCAGGTGCATTGTCAATGAGCAGTAATATTTTGAAAGGAATCTTTTGTTCTGAGCAGTAGGTATCAACGGTGGTGCTAAAATATTCAGTAAATCATACTATAAACATACATGCTGTCATCCAGGCTTTGTTTTTCCATTTACAAAACAGAGATTTAGCATAATTCTGAAGGGCCCTAGGATTTTCGGAATGGTAAATGAGCATTGGTTTCAGCTGCATTAGTCACCAGCTGCATTAGTCCCTAATAAGAGTCAGCCTATTCTTTGAACCCAGACATTGACTTCTCTAGTTACAAAAGTCCTAGAGGGCATCTTCCAGTATAAGGCTATTTCGTCTACATTGAAAATCTATTGTTTTGTATAGACACCTTCATTGATTATCTTAGCTAGTGCTTCTGGATAACTTGCTGTAGCTTCTCCATCAGCACTTGTTGCTTCACCTCCCACTTTTATGTTATGGAATCCAGCTTATTTCCTTAAACCTCATAAACCAACCTCTGCTAGCTTCAAATTTTTCTCATGCAGCTTCTTCACCTCTCAGACTTCAAAGAATTGAAGAGAGTCAGTACCTTGCTCTGGATTAGGCTTAGGCTTAAGGGAATGTGGCAGCTGGTTTGATATTCTATCCAAACTACTAAAGCTTTTTCCCTATCAACAATAGGCTGTTTAATTTTCTTATCATTTGTGTGTTCACTGGAGTAGCACTTCTGATTTCCTTTAAGAACTTTTCCTTTGCATTCACAACTTGGCTGTTTGGCACAAGAGGCCTAGCTTTTGGTCTCTCTTGGCCTTTGACATACCTTACTTACTAAGCTTAACCCTTTGCACTCACTTGCTTTTTTCTCTATTCCTTTATTCTACTCGGGATTTAATTTTTAAAATACCCCAGAATAATAAATACTGGAGTTTTTTTTCATACAAACTTATTTATTTGGATTTTTTATATTTCAAATTATTGATACATTCAAAGAGTAATTTTAATCTCTATAATTTTTCATGGTGTGAGCTGCTACCGATGCTAACCGTGTTGAGTCACACTCGACATCAGAGTGCAAAGGGTTAATCATTTCTAGGCTTTGATTTAAAGTGAGAGATATGCGACAGTTCTTTCCACTTGAACATTTAGAAGCCATTGTAGGGTTAGCCAGGCTAATTTCAATATTGTTGTGTCTCAGGGGATAGACACAAGGAGAGGAAGAGAGACATGCGAATGACTGGTCGGAGGAGCAGTAAGAATACACAACATGAATCGATTAAGTTAACCATCTTATATGGGTGTGGTTCATGGCACCCCAAAACAATTAGAATAGTAACATCAAAGATCACTGATCACTATAACAGATAATAATGAAAAAGTACGAAATATTGTGAGGATTACCAATGTGACACAGAGCCAAGAAGTGAGCACATGCTGTTGGATAAATGGTGCCAATAGACTTGGTGAAGCTGGATTGCTACAAACCTTCAACTCATTAAAAATGCAATATCGACTGGGTGCGGTGACTCACCCTTGTAATTCTAGCACCCTGGGAGGCCGAGGTGGGAGGATCGCTCAAGGTGAGGAGTTTGAATCCAGCTTGAGCAAGAGTGAAACCCTGTCTCTACTAAACATAGAAACTAATTGGCCAACTAAAAAATATATATAGAAAAAATTAGCCAGGCATGCTGGTGCATTCCTGGAGTCCCAGCTACTCAGGAGGCTGAGGCAGGAGGATCACTTGAGCCCAGGAGTTTGAGGTTGCTGTGAGCTAGGCTGACGCCACAGCACTCTAGCCCAGGCAACAGAGTGAGACTCTGTCTCAAAAAAAAAAAAAAAAAAAAAAAAAAGAAAAGCAATATCTGCGAAGCTCAGTAAAGCAAAACACAATAAAACAAGGTATGCATACACTGAATAATTTCATGTAAGTCAATCTTGTCTCTTGTTCTACTAAGCTCTGAGTGACTTGAGTGGTAGGTCTTAGTGCAAGTACTAGAGAGAGTGCTAAATAAATTTATTTCTCCACACATCATCTAAACATAATGGTCTGTTCCTATTGAAAGAAGTAGGACAAATTTTGGTGTGAACCGGTTAGGGTTGAAGCCTAGGAGGCTCAGAAGTTGACTCCCACTGATCCCCAGTTCCCAGACTACAGTAGTCAGGTTTTGGATCTTTCTTGAAGCTCCTGTTCTATTCAGACCCAAGATATTTAAGTCTCTTGCCTACTCCTTTTCTTTTTAAATTTTCTTGCCTTTTTAAAAACAACAACAACAACAACAAAAAAAACCCATAGAAATAGATCCAGACATTGCGCCAAAGACGTTCCAGACTCCAGTCCTAGGACACTGGGTCATTTGATTGAGTGGCCTGTTTCCTTCTCTGGAGAGCAGGACGTAGCTACTACTTACCCTGCTAACGCATAGGTTTGGAGAAAAGCAAGTGGAAAGAACAGAGAGGAAAGTTATCTTTCTTTACCATTTACCAGAGACGAGGCGCCTTACCTACATCAGGTCATTTTCAAAAACCCAGCAACGCTCTAATAAGCGACACAGAGCGAGATTCCTGGGCGTAAGAGGCTGTAGGCGCTTGAAAAGAACCAGCTTGGTGTCAGCGCTCCCCGCGAATTGGGGGCCAGGAGCGTCGGTACCTGGCTTCCAGGTCAAGACAGAAGCCGGAAGTGGCGGGTCGCGTTTCTGAAGTAACACGACAGTTCCTGGGCTCACCTTAGTCTCTACGGTGGGCCCTTCCCTGTAGCCGACCCGCTCCTTGAAGCGGGCCAGAAACGCCGGCTCGGCCGGCCGCACGTACGACACCTGGTTCCGCTTGCTCATGGCAGCTCTGAGGAAAGACAAGCTCCCCGGCCGACACTGACAGCACTGAGGCGATGGCGCTTACTAGTGTCGTCACCGGGACCACGCCCCCGACGCGTAGGCCGGGCAACATGGCGGCCTCCGTTCTGGCGTCAACGTTTGGTTCTAGCGCCAAATTCAAATTCGCGGCCATCTTGAGCGGGCGGGATCCCGTGGCGCGGCGCGCCGGGAGGTGGGGGCATCGGTAGCATTGGTCTCGGGATCGAGAGGTGAGGGCGATATGGCACCCGGCTGCAAAAGTAAGTCAAGAGTCCCGACTTCGAGACGCCGTCCTCCCCGCCAACATAGCTGTGAAAGGACGGCCGTCCTCGGCCACCCGCAGGGCTCCTTACTGGGTGTGAAGGGCAGGAGCTGACTGGAATCTCCCTGTCCCTCAAAGACGATGCGCTGGTGGAAGGGCTTTCAATCCTTCCTTCTGTGCCTTGCGCGCAGGCTAGGAGCCTGGCGCCGTTCTAGGCGCTTAGGGTGAGCAGTGAACCTGCTGCTGTTCCCTTTTGTTCTCTCGGTTCTTCCGTTTCTTCGCTCGCCTCTTACCACGTCCCGATCAGGGCTACCTCCCGAGTAGCCTTGCCTGAAGATCCGCCCTTGCTCTCACCACCACCTGCATATTTACACATTTCTGACCTCCCTGAGGGAAGGATTTATTTATGTTCCAAACACCTTTTCCCCTTTGGGATAGTCTCTCCATAGATAAGGGATTTTTAAAGCACAGATTATAGCGATGTCTTTATATTCTCACAAGATCTGTTTTCACCTAAAGGAGACCTGTCCAATTTCTTCCTTTTTTTTTTTTTTCCCCTTCTCACGGAGGAGAGCACTGTCATTTTTGCATGTGATAAACCCTTCAATTTTCACTGATTTCTTGAAATGTGACCTTCTGTGTACGTGTGCCCCTTACATTGCCGAATCTCTTATGGAGTCTTGTTTTTTAAAGCGGATTATGAGCTTGTCACGGTCCTGTCCATGTCTGGACTTTGAAGTGTTTCCCCAGTTCTTGAGCCCCTGGCTTGGAATCGCAAGCCTTGGCCCATGCGACGGAGAGAGATGAAGTATGCCTGAAGAATTTATTGTAAGAAAAGTTTAAGGGTGCAAAACAAAAGTACATTTCCTAAGGGGAAATGGATCTGTCTCCACAAGTGGAGAAGACACTGTCTTGTATGTTTTTCCTTTTATATGCTAGTATTATATGTTGATATAAAGGTCAGGTACAATTACTTAGGACTATATGTCACAGGTTTTGGGGTCTGGATTTGGACATAACTTAAAGGTTTTGTTCCAGGCATTCCCTTCTCCTATATGTGTGATGGGGAAAGTCACCATTTATGGTGTTTGTCTATTTTTTGATTGGTGGTCACTGTTCCATGGTCTAATTTACACAATTCTTTAAGACTGAAATAACTGTTTCCCTTGGTTTTCTGTAACTATTTCCTTCTTATTGTTTTTCTTTAACTGTTTCCTCCTCGTTTTTCTGCTCCTATCATTCCATTACCTCTTGTTTTTCTGTCCCTAAAAAGCTGACGTAATGGGGTCTTTGTGAAGGGTTTGAAGAGTAATGAGGAGATGCCTATATTAGATGATTGAAGAAATTGTGACCTTTTGGTATTTGCACCTTCCAACGGCGTTAAAGTTTCTAGCTCTCTGTCAATTGTAATTGTTTTGGTGGAGTTGTTTTATTAACCTTTTAGGTCAATCATACCATTATCTGAAGACCTCATCATGCTATCTTTTACCATCTAAAATATTCTTTTTCCTTCACCATTTTCAGTATTCAGGGACTATGAGTGTACAAGTTGGTACATTATTAGATGGAAATATTCATCCTGTTTTCTGCACAATCGCAGTATTTGTTCTTTGTTTACACTTTATTGATAAGTTCAGTAAACCTGGACTCAAGCAAAAGATCACTGATGCTTGTAACGTAAGTTAAGCACCTGCTTATTTAATGGAAAGTGATATTTGTGTGTTACTGTCTATTAAAGGGCTCTGGCCAATCTGTAAACTGAAGTTGAGGACTTTTCTAAAAGTAGTGGGAGCAAGGTATTCACAACTTCTTTTTATGATGAGGGTGATGCCATGGGGAATTTTTCCACTCCCTTAAGTTTGTTAGCAAAATTGAGGTTGGTGATATTCCAGGTAAGTGCTTCTTGCATTCCTAACAGTCTAGAGGTCTGGTCTATGAAGTAGGAACACAAAGGAGGATGAAGCTCTCTGCAACTTTTGCTTTATGCCCATGAAGCCTGTCTCTAGTGACAACCATTGGCACCATGGGTTGGTAACTGTGAAATCAGAGAAATAAGAAAGTGAAAAGTTACCCTTATGAAATTGACTGGTAAATCTAGTCTTAAAGAGATTCCCTTTCTGAACTTAATCATGTTTGGGCAAATGACTGATGAGTATTTATCTAGACTGCTGGGTAAAGCATCTAATGGTCTTTTTAAAGCAAGAAGACTCTTTTTAGTTTTACTATTTACTATTTTGTTGAAGTATAACTTACATGCAGTAAAGGGCACAAATGTTGAATGCTGTTGAACAAATTTTTACATACGAATACACTAATGCAGGCATCCTCAAACTACGGCCCACGGGCCATATGCAGGTGTTTTTGCCCCTTTGTTTTTTTACTTCAAAATAAGATATGTGCAGTGTGCATAAGAATTTGTTCATAGTTTTTTTTAAACTATAGTCCGTCCCTCCAATGATCTGAGGGACAGTGAACTGACCCCCTGTTTAAAAAGTTTGAGGACCCCTGCTAGTGTAACCAACACCCCCAAAACTGTTCCCATACTCCAGAAAGTTCCCTGTCACCCTTCCTAGTCAAAATAATTATAACTACATGATAAGCTTTTATTTTTTTTATTTTTTATTTTTTACTAGGAATCAGGAAGCAAACATGATAAGCTTTTATACTCCCTTTAACCTTTGATCAAGAGGCAGCATAATGAGGTAGTTAAGAGTAGGATATCTGGATCCAGGATGCCTGCATTCAAGTTCTAGCACTTTTCAATGATGCTTCCTTAGATCTCAATCAGAAATCACGGCAGAACTGTCTAATTTTGTGTAATTTTTTATTTCATTATATGTTACTATTTGCTTATTAACTTTATTAAAGTAAATGTTTTACTTTAGAATCCTTTTAGATTTACAAGTTAAGATACAAACTACATTGCAGGCCTGTTACACATGTGCAGTTGTTATACATGTGCAGATCAGTATTCATCTGATCACTTCTAGAGATCTCTGCAGAGATGAAGAGCTGGCAGCCTACCCTCTGGGGCTTGTTATTGGTATTTGCTTGCTTATTTGTTTAGCAACTGGCTATATAGATTTAGTGAAATCTGTTTCTCTCCCACGGTGTTAAGCCTTTGGTGTTGCTCCTCAGGGAAGCACAGCTTTGGATATGCCCACCGTTATCCTGGGATGTCAGTGGTTTTGATAGGGATCCTTTTCTCTGGCCACACTCAGCTATTAAACTCCAATAATTGCCACCTGATTGCTCTCCTGTTTTCAACAATGCCCCAGGGCATAAATTGCCCTACAAGATGCTCCAATTAAATTCTTGCTCCTTTGAAGTAGGAGTTTCTGAGATCCGTGTTTGATATTTGTTGTGACTCCAGTGCAGCTGTGCCTAGCTGTTTTACTTCCCATTCTCTCCCACAAACTAACAGGCCTGCATTTAGCTTGTATCTTGAATATCTTCATTATTACTTTGCACTACAACTTCCACTGTTCTTGAGAGTGCCCTTACATTTGAACTTCTCTGTGCTCTGTTGCAAATGCTGTTGGGTCTTTGGGAAGAGATTAGAAGCTATCTGTTTATGGCCTGTCCCTTCCCCAAAGCAAAAAATCTCTGAGTCTGGTCGCTGGGAATGGAGATAATGGCAATCTTGTCTCTGAGTGACATCCTCATTCTAGTTGCTGACCAGTTTGTTGGTGTGGGGGAGTATGGCAGCCTGGGATCTTCTCAACTTTCCTTTCCAGTGTGGAATCACTGCTTCATGAACTGGACCAAGGGTAATTAGGACCCCAGTGTACTCAACATGCAGCAGCCAAGGTAGAACCTCTCTTCCACAAATTAGGGCTGAGTCAGAGAAGGGAGCCCTCACCTCTCAATCAAACTTGTCTGGGACTTACCCTCAGCAACAGGTAGTTAGCTGGAGACGGAATGAGAAACTCTGACTTCCTGCTACTCCTGGGAATAAAGTCCTTTAATTGGGACCTGAAACAAGAGGAATCCCTGTGTTCTTGGTTGCTGCAGCTAGAGTGAGCTGGGAGGGAGTGATCTTGATTCAAATAACACAGAATCACCTTTCTAACTGAATTTTCATAGATGTTTCTTGAGTAGATGTTCCTCAATTGCCGGTTGCCCTTAAGAAAAATTCCAAAAGCCTTAAAGGTTTTTGTTTTGGTTTGTTTTTTTTTAATTTCACCAGTTTCACTCAGGAGTGGGTCAGTGGCATTCCTCACAATGTCATGCCAGATGTTGACCTCTGACTTCTTTTTTTAATAGAATCATTCTGTCTGCTAGGTTGAGAATAGATGGGGGTGGGAGAAACAGGGAGACTGTTGTAATAATCCAAGTAAGAGATGTGGCTGACTTGATTCCATGGTGGTGGCAATGGATTTGACAGGAAGTTGTAGGATTCTGGATATATTTTGATGTTAGAGCCAAAGATTTTCTGACAGGTTGGATATGGAGAGTGAGAAAGAATGGAGTCAGGGATGATTATATGGTTTTTTGCCAAAACAACTGGAAAGATGGAGTTGTTATTAACTGAAATGGAGAAGTACATTTGGGGTGAGGCCAGGGCCATCAGGAAGCTCAGGTTTGGACGTGTTAAATTTGAAACATCACCCACTGGAGATCCAATTGGAGATATCAGGTAGACAATTAGATATGAGTTTGGGGCTCAGGAGAGCAGTGCAGGGTGAAGGTTTAAATTTGGCAAGGATCAATAGGTATTTAGCACTTATTTTTTTATTTTTATTTTTTTTTCCCACGGTATTTAGCATTTAAAACCACAAGATAAGATGTCATCACCAATGTA